AACGTGGTGGTGTGGGGAGATGGAATGTGGGGGCCTAGAGCCAGGAAAGCCCCACCCCTGGGCAGGGGACAGACTGGAAGGTGGGAAGGAAGGAGCCCTGGGAAGGGGATATTTATATATAATGTTGAGAGAAGGAAGAGATAGTTAAAAAAAAAAACACCTTAACATTCATCTCTTCAGGCAAACCTACTGGTTTGACTATGTGTAACCCAGTTTCGGTATTTTCCTCCCTATTTTCTCTCTGCTCCCCTAGCCTCAATTCTAAGTGTTGAATACCTCCATTCCTCCATCTGCTTGGATTGATCGTTGGAAGCACACTATAGGATGAAAGTGAGAGGAAGAGGTGTTCTGAGTTAGGTGGGGAGAGGAACAATAACAATAATAATCAACAGAACTCCTCAGCCTAGGGCTGTGAGATGGCCCCCCTCATCCCTTTCTCTAGCCCACTAATCAACACCCTGTGTCAGCCACAGCTGACTGCCTCCAATCAGCCATAGCCACTAGTCATGTGCACATCCCCGAACATCACAGCCCCACTCCAGGCTGAAGTAAGGTGTGTGTGGGGGGAGTAGGAACTTTAAAAGAAGAGAGACAGCAGAGAAGGTGGGCCAGCTCTACCATAAAGAGCAACTTTTTAATTGAATTGAGGAAAATGGGTTTCTTTAGATTTTCATCTCTCTAAAAATCCCTAGTTAAAACTAGTCCAGCCCTAGCCAGTTTGGCTCAGTGGATAGAGTGTTGGCCTGCAGGCCTGAGGGTCCCAGGTTCGATTCCAGTCAAGGGCTTGATCACCAGTAAGGGGTGTGCAGGAGGCAGCCAATCATTTGTTCTCTCTCCTTATTGATGTTTCTATCTCTCTCCCTTTCCTTTCCTCTCTGAAATCAATAAAAATATAACAAACAAAAAAACCACTCCATGTTTTCTTCAAATACAATTCTCCGGTTTTCTAAGGGGGTATATATTATCCCAAAGATCTAAGCCTGGGGAATCCCAAATACTTGCCACAAATAAAATCCTTAAGAGTTGGGACAGGCCTGAAAGAGAGCTCTGTACGTGTGTAGTCAAACTGAAGTGTTTGCATGGTGGGATACCATCATCCCACTCTGTAAGGCTCTAGAGTTCCTTGACATTCTACACCTTGGAAGGTCCGCCCCCCGCGCCCCGCAGCGAGTCAAACGTAGTAAAGGCCTTTGGATTGGCGAGGGGTGTGGGGCGTGGTAAGGGGAAAGGGAAGGTTGTGAGGGCCAAATTTTGCATGTGGAAGGATGAGCAAATAGTTCAGTCTCTCCCCAACTCCCTTAAGCATATCAAGCTTTTTTTGAGAAGGACAGAGAAGAAGGTGAGAACAGTGAGGGGCGGTATTCCTTTGATCAGGGCCCCCCTTGAGACCAAGAACTCCCACAACAGTGGAGCTGGCTTCTCCCGTACGTAAAGTATTAAAACCCAAACGTTTCTGCAACCCCTTTCTACAGTCCCCTTAGTTTATCCTTTCATAGATTGAAAGTGGGGTGACGCCCCATAAGATCCCCCCAAATTAGGCCAAGTTTCTTACCCCACAGACGGATCAGCTGTTCCCTTACCTTTCACCAACAACAAAAACAGCACTCCGTCTCCGAGAGGGGAGGGAGAAGAATGAGCGCGAGGACTTCTGGGATTTGTGGTTCCTCCACGGTCTTTTACTGGAGAGCTGACTAGGATCTGGGACTACATATCCCAGGAGGCTATTGTGCAAGGAGGGCGGAGAAGAGGGCGGTCGTGGCGGCGGCCTCACCACTGCATTCTGGGAGACGTAGTTCTCACGTCCATGACAGCAAACGAGGGTGTGGCCATCAAAAGACTTCACGGCCCATGATTCCTTAGGAGGGGGCAGGCTGTATTAGTGGTGACTGAGGGTTTGTAACGTGCGTAGTTGGGGGGTGGGAAGGAGTTAGGGCTTTAACGCCCGCTGTGTAATACTTTATAGTGCGTCTTGCGCCAAACGAGTTCAGATGCACTCTTTAGTTTACTTTTAACAAGTTTTGAGATAGGTAGTATTGTTTTACACACTTTATAGAGGAAGAATCTAAAGTTGAAAAGGTTAAGGAGCCGGTCTAAAATATCAAAGTTATGAAATGGTAGAACAGTAGGACTGCATGTCTCTATAAATGCCACGACTTCACAGCCACCTGCCATTTAAGGGATGGGAAACTAATAGCTGTGCTAGCAGTTTCTTCTCTGTTGCAACCCCAGGGACAGCCCCTGTAAAAACTACGTGTTGTGCACCGCTATTTCTTTACAACTTGAGGGTTTCAGTGATGGGCCTGCCAATACACCCCTCGACTGGATCCCCCTAGAGCAGCGGTTCTCAACCTGTGGGTCGCGACCCCTTTGAGGTCGAACGACCCTTTCACAGGAGTCGCCTAAGACCATCGGAAAACACATATATAATTACATATTGTTTTTGTGATTAATCACTGTGCTTTAATTATGTTCAATTTGTAATAATGAAAATACATCCTGCATATCAGATATACGTTACAATTCATAATAGTAGCAAAATTACAGTTATGAAGTAGCAACGAAAATAATTTTATGGTTGGGGGTCACCACAACATGAGGAACTGTATTAAAGCATCGCGGCATTAGGAACGTTGAGAACCACTGCCCTAGAGTGAACTCTAGATCTAGGAAGAGGGTCTATAGCAGCCGTGGGCAAACTACGGCCCGCGGGCCGGATCCGGCCCGTTTGAAATGAATAAAACTATAAAAAAAAAAGACCGTACCCTTTTATGTAATGATGTTTACTTTGAATTTATATTAGTTCACACAAACACTCCATCCATGCTTTTGTTTCGGCCCTCCGGTCCAGTTTAAGAACCCATTGTGGCCCTCGAGTCAAAAAGATTGCCCACCCCTGGTCTATAACCTGAGGGGGCAGTGTGGGTGGTGGTGGTGGTGGGAGGGAGGAGAAGTAGAAGCATGAAATTGGAAGGGGAGCCTGGTATAATTCTGGACCGATCACAACTCACAAACAAGCCACTTACTGGGGCCAGTGTGCCCAAGCCTTTAAATTAATTAGGGTAACAATACATGTTGTTGCTCCTGTTTTTATTTAGCAGAGGTGAAAGAGTCACACTCCTCCCACAGCCCAAGTTATGTCAAAGACTTGGGCATCATGTGCCCTCCCCCTTCTGGGCCCTCCAAGTACGTAGTCAGGCATTCTATGATCCCTTTCCCAGTCTTCATGTTAGGGGGTTGATTTGCTCTTTCTGAGTCCCTGCTTATTCCAAGTTTTTTTGTAGTATTTTTTGTTGTTATGACTGAATAGGGTGTCTGGTGCCTGCCCTGTGTGCCTTTCATCTGAAGATCTCTACGCACTTAGCTATAAGTTACTGGGCTGCACAAACACTGAGACACAGCTGTACAATTAGTCAGGATTTATGAGTTACAAGCCACTGGATGAGCTCAAGGTCCTGGGTAAATTAAGAGTGAGGTCCTCTTACAAAACAAAACAAAAGGCCTGGAAAAATAAAAGAGTGAGGCCTGTTCAGAAATCAGAGCCCCAAGTGCTCTTGGTTTATGTCTTACACCCAGAATAAATGCATGGAAGAAAACTCAGCCTCAGTCTCAGCTAAAGATAAAAGTAATAACTTCCATTTATTGAGTGGTTACAATTATGTGTTTAAACTATGCTGAGGTTTTCCGTTTAATACAATAATAGCCTTATATAGTAGCCGCCCCCCCCATTTTACATATGATGAAGACTGAGGCACAGATAATTAAGTGAATTAAGTGATTTACCTAGGGCAGTGATGGCGAACCTATGACATGCTTGTCAGAGGTGACATGCGAACTCATATTTTTGGTTGATTTTTCTTTGTTAAATGGCATTTGAATATATAAAATAAATATCAAAAATATAAGTCTTTGTTTTACTATGGTTGCAAATATCAAAAAATGTCTATATGTGACACAGCACCAGAATTAAGTTAGGGTTTTTCAAAATGCTGACACGCCGAGCTCAAAAGGTTCGCCATCACTGACCTAGGGTCATCCAACTAGTAAGTGGTAGAATCAGGATTCAAGCACAGGTAGTCAGTACACCATAGTAGTAGTAGTAGTAGTAGTAGTAGTAGATACACCATACTCCCACCCCAGAAACTCCTGGTATGTGATACTAAATTCCATCGTTCTAAGCAACTGTTAGGGGCAGAAATAGAATAGTGGGGACTAACTATAATTATAAGAAATATTCATCATGTTCTGTTAACCGTGATTGTTCTATTCTGATTAGAGAAAGCACACTCTAACCTGGCTGAAAGTTGTAGGCCCCAAACATAGTAGTTAATATCAGAATGCAGTCCATCCTTTTCTGAAAACTACCTATACAATCTGGTCCTGGAGGTGCCTGCTATTTGCCTGTAACCTGTAACCATTATACTTGCCTACTTCCCCATGCCTGTAGTTCCTACTTTCTCTTAAAATCTTTGTCCTTCTACCCCTTATAAGCAGCTGGCTTATGTGGGGGCGGGGGGGGGGAGTGCAGAGCAGATTTTCGTGCTGATCTTCCATACTGGCAGCATTATTAGAATAAACACTCATAGATGATTCAACTCTGTTTCTGCTTAATTGGCTCAAGTAGTGACAGGCTGCCCAGACCCATTGGTTGTCCAGTTTCAGAACTGAACTGTGTTGTTAATTAATCAGGGAACAAATGTTCACTGAGTATTTATGTGCAAGGCGTAAGGTTAGAACAGATTCATTTGACAAACACGTGTCAGGTACTATGCTAGGTGTTCATTACATTTTGTTGAAAGGATGAATGTATAGATAGTCGAAGGATGGATTAGATTTGGATAGTTTGGCAGGACAAGGTCTAGGACGGGTGAAGCAGATTCAGAGGTGGGAATGTGTAATGTTTACTGGAGTCTAAGAG